CCCTAGGGTGTGGTCTCTTCTGTTATCTTTCTATGTGTTATTTTCGGCAATCTAAGACGTATATAGTTACGTTTTTCCAGATCTCGACTTAACGAAATCAACTCTTTCTCCTATAACTGTCACTGTTACAGAAGAAGAAACTTCTATAACTGCAGAGGTGACTACAATCTTTTCGTCGAATCCTGAGACAGAAGATACCACACTCACAACACCACTAATATCTTCAACAACACCAAGATATAAATATAAATGTAACGGCACAAATAAAATTTAACCAAACAAATAATCTTTAAAATCAATCTTTTTATTTTTAGATGACCTCTACGATTATCAGACCACCACTGAATCTCCAGGAATAGATTACAAAGTTCAAGTAAAGGTGGTAGACTTAGGAGAGAACTTTGTACCTCCCAAACCTGGTACTGTACAGTACGATGACCTTAGTAATTCAATTTCAAATAACTTCCAACCGGTGTTTAAAAGTTTGCCTGGATATCGCAGAATCGTCATAGACCAATTAAAAAGGTATGAATTTTTTAACAATTTCTTAGTCGTGTTATATAATAACAATATGTGTATCACATCCCTTGAAATTGCGGAAATTTTGTAATGTAAAGTCTATACAGCAAAAGAAGGAACGAGTTTGACATATAACATAGAATAATTGACAAAACACACAATTTATTTTTAAATAAAAATGACAGATCATATTATGTTCTGTCTTCGGTCATTCAATTTCTATAATTTATTTTGATGGTTGGTATTTAATTTATGATGTTGATGAAGGACTTTTACATATCCTGTATGTCATGTTTAATATTATTTTTAAATATTCTTTTTATTTATAATTTGTTCCTTTTTTAGCGAAAGCAACGATATAGTGGCTATTATGAATGTACAACTTGATAAAGCTGTTCTAGAAAAAGGCAGAGCTTTATCATCCTCAGACATGAAGAACACAGATGAACAAGTTCATAAAATTGTACAAGAAAGTGTAGGATCAGGAAGAGTGGGGAACTTGAAAGTGGATCCCCAATACCTTGTATTCGAACCTCAGAGTCGTAAGTTTATTCACTTATTAATGTTATCCAACTCTTCTAACTCTAAATCAAACATGCTTTCATAAGTAAAGATTTAAACTTCTCACTCTGCTTCTCACAAAATCTTCTAACTATTTTTACAAAATCTATCGTTCTAGGTACTACAAACCTCATCCCTGATGCCGATGGCTCAACAATAAGCTCTGGATGGTTCGATATGCCTTCCACCAAGCTGTATATAGTTCTAGGATGTATAGCCGCTTTAGTATTGGTAGCACTGGTGCAAGCAGGCTGTACCGTGTACAAAGCTACAGGTCGCAGGCGTGCTAACCGTCACAAGGTAACGTCTTTGTGAAAATGAAATGACAGGGACACATACAATCGTTCTATATCTATCTGAAAAGTACGTCTATGTCTCTATTATTACGCCTATAAAGGCCGGGTTATCTCCCAGCTAACCAAAGAAAAATTAAGAACAATATATTATTTTGGTTAGTCTTGTTTTGATATTTGATATTGTGGGTGGTAGACCTGATTATGGAAAAAATATCTCTAAATATTAGTCGTACATTTTATAAATTATATATAATTAATTTTTACTCCTAATTATTTCCAATATAAATAACTGAAACAAAATGATTTAATAATAAATGTAGGAGTAAGATTGTTATATTAAAATAAGAATAGATTGTTAAATCATAATTAAATAAGTGTCGAAAGCTGAAAAATATCTTGTTTTTAATTTATATGGTGGATTTTAAAGATAGAAATTAGGTCACGGGAGTGCTTCTATAGAGACTCTAGGTCCACACTAAAGACACTGTTAGATCGTTGAAATACCATAAAGGAAGCACCGCTTTCCTTGCTTCCTGAGACTGCACGCCTCTGAGGTTTACATTTTCAAAGTACTTAAATATATTTTTATATATGAAAGAGTTTAGATAAGGTCCTTTTTTGGACCAGAGCCCTTTGGATATCTTATATAGCTACGCCACTGAATATAACTGAAATTAAGAGCTGCTAATTTGAATTGGTTTTTTCGCCATGCAGAGGGTATACAGCGTGCAACTGGATCCCGTGTACTTCCACGAGCCCCACTGGGGTGCCGCCGCTGCCCCTCCGAACTACGAGTACCCAATGCAGTACCACCAGAGAATATGGTAGACACGGCGATCGCCGGTGGGGTGAGTGGCGAGTAAGAGCACGTCTTCCTCTGTACAGTCTGTCTTGTCTTGTTTTACTATGTTATACTTTCCCCCAGCACTCAGGTTGCATCTTAGATTTAATGTACAAAAAGACACAGCATACCTGGTTAAAAACTTCTCCAAAATAAAGGGTCTGGCAATAGTGCGCCGGGCATCTGTAGCTCCTGAAATAAATAAAATCGAAATTGTGTTTTAAGTCCAAACCTAAAGTACGTACTAGGATGTATTTCAGGAAAATATTTCAACTTCTATAGGGTGGCTCAAAAAAGTGTGGATGATTGTTTTTTAAATGGAACACCCTGTATAGTATTGCATTTTTAACTTCTTTTATGATCACTTTGTATAATCCTAAGATATTAGTAAATATGTTTCGATAGTTTCAGAGGTATTAATAAATAAATAACAATATATTTTTTTCAGCCTTTTAAAAAAATATATTAAAAATACAAGAACTGTCCTAAAACCAAAAATATTTTAGGTATTTACTATAGATGATATGTAGTTATTTTGCTATAAATATCGTAATATTAAATCATACAGGATGTTCAAAATTCTACGCCAAACTTTCTAAAATATAAAATAATTTTTCTTCGTTTTTTTAACACAAACACTCTATGTATATTATTTTTTAATTAAATAGAGACTTAAAAAATGAACATTTTTTGTATATAAAATATTTCAAAATTGTTTCCCTGATATTCGCAGTAATATAGTAAATATGGCATTTTCCAGAGGATTTTTTTATCAAAGCTACCTAAAGATTTTTGTCTCTGGTATTTTGTCGTTGAAAGGCTAGATGTAATACTGCGAATATCTGCGAAACCGTAAAAAAATTTGAAATACTTTTAATACAAAAAATGTTCCTTTTACAATTCCCCATCTATTAAAAAACAATACACACAATACATCCATGTTCGATTAAAAAAATACGAATAAAAATTATTTTACATATTAGAAGATTTGGCGTAGAATTTTCATCATCCTGTAGGATTTAAGATTACGATATTTATAATAATAGCATAGTTTTGATTTCAGGACACATTTTATATTTTTAATATTTTTTTTTTTTTAATAAGGGCTGAAGAATTTTTTTTTTCATTTATTTATTTATAATAGCGCTTATCTCTAAAATTATAAAAATGTCTTCTATTTAAAAAAAGTTATCCCGATCCACTCACACTTTTTTAAGCCACCCCGTAGAAATTAAAATATATTCTTCAAACACATTCCTAGTACATACTTTAGGTTTGCGCTTAAACAAAATTCCCAAGTTTTTTTTATTTTAGGATCTACAGATGCCCGACGCACTATTGCTGGACCCTGTATACATAAGAAACCATTGTGTGCTAATTACGTGGACAAACCTTCGAATGCTATTGTAATGGCGTGCTTACAGTTCACTTGATATTTCTTTACGATTATTTTCTATGCGAAAAGCACGACCTGCTGTATCTTTTATGGTACTTTTACATGCTTCTCAAGCCTCAGGAAGTGTCCACAGCACAAGTTGTAGACAGAAATATTTGTCCCCACTTCTGTAAGCTTAAAGAATTTTTCTCACCGTTCCGATGGAGTGTCAGTTTTTAATACAAATCCTCGGAGGCTTATTGACAAGATTGTAAATAATTTCTAAATGCGAGCCTAGGTATTTGTATAATCCTAGAGCTTGTTGGCTAAGCTTGGCAAACATGTAAAGGTAGCATTTAGTATATTTAATCTACCGGTTTAAGGCACAATACACATCCCCTGTAACTAACTCTAACCTTCTTACTGCGCATTGCTCAAACGCGCAGTAAAACATAATACCTAAACTTAGTAAAAGTTTGAATTTTTGATGTTTATGCTGTTTTTAACTATATTATAGTATAATAATCTTGATTTAAAAAATCGCGACATTTGTTAATAAAGGAAATAGAATTCATTGTAAATATCTTATTTGTAAAAAGTCAATGAATGTTTTTTTTATTATTTACTTTGTAAATATCTTGTAACATTTAGTTTTATAAAAAATAGTCATTATAAAGTTTATATATCATATCTCTCTAGCTTTTTTCGATTTGTAGGACCACCTGATACCAAATTCCGCCTGGAAAGACTACTCCTCCAACACCAACTACGCCTTCGACTCTTTTGAACGCGAAGAACCCACCAAAAAGCAACAACATCAACAACACCACCAGCAAAACGGAAATGGTAGGTCCGCGCATCCGCCCCAAAGCAGACCTCGCAGCAATCCGCCTAGACCTCAAGGGCGCCCGCCAAGCGTGCCGCCACAAGGTCATGGGGGAGACTCCAGGTCACTGCAGAGACCTAGAAGCGCGTTATTGCCACCAAATGACCGAAGTACCTTCTCCTTACCTCGCACCCAGTACGACAGGCACACTGTAGGGGCTGCTAAAGGTGGCCAAATGCCAGCAGACTTCTACTTCATGCCATCGCAAAGAAAATACTCGGGAGAGGTAGTCAGGGTGTACGTGGACTATAACGGACAGAAAAGGGAACACTGAGAGCCTCTGCATTTGTACCTTATATAGATATATTGAGAACGTTTGTTGAGATGGGTCTATAAGAGACAGATGTGTTAGAATGTTGTTAGGTTAAATACAAATCGCGATTTTATCGTTAGTTCATATATTTCTAGTCGTTCATTTACCATAATAACAATAATGCACATATTACGGAACTCCTTATGTAAAATAGTACTTTTTGTCGTGGTTAGGAATTAAGTCGTTTTGTTAAAACGACAAGGTTGCAAACTATACTGATGTAGAGTCAGCTATTTATACCTATTTGACATTAGTACAATAAATGAATATATACTCATACGACAGAGGATATTCATAACCAACCAGTCTATAATTAATTTATACAAAGGTAGTAAATTAGAGCTCAATTTTCCTACTTCCATAAACATCTCTATTACAAACTCATATACCTACAGGTTCACAAGTTGTTTCTTAAGTACATAGTCTAAAAAATTTAGGGTGTGATTCCTCAATTGTGATGTATAAGAAAATCTCAAGATATCAATCTTGTTAAAAAGAAATCAAGAAAATGTTTTCCCAAAAAAAAAGCAGTGGCGTAACATTTATTTTAATCAAATTATCCAGAGGTGTGTGCGTACGAACGCCACTGGTTCAAGTAGGAAAACGACAGATAATGGAAATAAACTCCATTTATACCCGGAAACCACATACCAAAATTGAAGGAAATATCGAAATAGTTTTTTATATTTTTTATTTAATTTAGATTTTTTTATATTTTTTAACACCCTGTAGATCCGAAAAGAAGTTTTTTACACCCCATGTTTATATACTTTTTTCTTAAAACATATGAGAATTTACACCCTGATTTTTTTAGACTACTAAAAAACATCTTGTATACATTGTAAACAGAGAAGAAATAATTTTATTGATTTTGTAGTTAAGTTCTCCTCAACCAACTAAAAATGTATAGTAATAAACAATTTTAATCTAATGGTTATTGCGATTACACACTTTTTTTAAATTAATCTACCAACAAAACATAATTTATAGTGCTCTAACTTAAATATATAACAATAAACAATACATATGCAAACTCATGTTTCATAAATGATGTAAAGAATTTAGTTTTAAATAATTATATATTATAGAGCAAAACATATTTTCTATGTGTATAGTAATAATTTTTTTATTTTCTTATTTTTTGTACTGTTAACCATTTTACAAGGTAAATATAATAATAATTTGTACAGTTACTGTTATGTATGTTTTAACAAATAAAAATACCATATTTTTTTATCTAAAAAAATAATTTCTTTTATTAGTACCTTTACATTTACAATATAATATATTTAGTCTTACAATTAACTTTTTTGGTATATCTTAACAAGTATTAGTAATTACAGCAAAAAAATATTTGATATGTCTTAACATTCTAAATCAATAACTGTATTAACAGGACAATGTATTATCTTGACAATGTTTTACTTTGCAACTTATTACAAATTACAATCATACATTTTCAAAAATAAAAAAAAAATTGCCACCTAACATAAAAGGCCAATCTACTCAATTCAACATGAAGGTGAAATTCAATATTATTTACTAATATCACTTGGTATCAGATGGTAACCACTTGAAATCACAATGATTTTCCAAAACAATCCTGATAAAATAATGATTACTTCTGCTATAGATAATTAACCAACAAAATTTGTTATTACTTGTATAAACAGAGAAACACACACAAGTTGAGCAAAAAAAACAACATTTTTACTGATATTTTGTAAAACTTGGCACTAACTGATACACCTCTTTAGACCGTAATTCTTACAATACAATATCTTTATTTTGACCTAAGGAAAGAGGTCACCAATATCACAGTATCCAGTAAAAAGCTGATACTTTTTTAAGTATATTTTCACATACTAACAGCAGCTCTTACTATAGGCACTTGTTCTGGGTCTATTATGTCATCATCTCCTTATAAAAACAACCAGAAAGTTAATAAAAGAAAGATGAAAATATCTAAACACTACCTGAGAGTAACCCATCGCTTTCTGAGTCACGCTTCTTCTTCCTCATATTACGGTATTTAACTCTGGCTTTTTCTAACAAACTAACTTCACAACTGTCTCTTCTCCTTTTACTTGGATCCCTGTACATTAGGAAATTGTCAGTCACCCAAAACATCAACATCTAAAAGTTATCTCGACATTATTTTATCACAAACATAAAAATTGTCCTTACATTTATAAAAAATGGAATAATTAACATAACAAATGCTAGTTCAATCTTGGGGTTATCTATGGGACTTAATATAAAGTCTTTAACGTTCTCCCAAAAATCTAACTGCATAAATAAAGTTATAGATACTTTTACAATGACCATCAAACCAACATATAAGCAACACTGAGCTAACCAAGCATTAACATTAGGAGGTTTTCCATATTCTCCAAAATTGATAGCTTCCCAGCCTTTCCTATGGGCTAAGAACTGACAAGTTCTTATCCCAATAAAAATTATCAAAAGCCCCATTGAAGAGTCTACAACAAAAAACCATTAGTATTGACTGATAAGATGTGTAAATACTACTTTAACTAAAAAAATACCTAATAGAAAGTTAATCAAATACCAAGTACATGGGTCCCCTTGATATTGTCCTGCTAACCATACGTTAGCTAAATGTATAGCCATGGCCCCCATGCCCTGTTTAGACGTATCGTAGAACCATATTTGCCAAGATCTTCTTCGAATACGAGGTTCACAAAATCTAAAAATAAAACTGGTTAGCCTCAAACCTCTTGAGATTTACCTTGTGACCTTACCTCTTTGCAATGAGACATGTAAAAGCTAAACAAGCTAAAAGAACTTGTAGAAACCAGCCGAACATATCTGTCAAGGCATCTTTGTCGCAGTGCAGACCCCCTTTATACTTTAGAGCAGTCCCTGCTTGACCTATGGACGTAGAATTCATTGTTTAGATGTTTGGTTTTATAAGTAAATATTCTTTAGAATATATTCACATAGGTCCAAGCATTATCGCACTGTTTTCCGACCTACATTTACCACTGGAAATTTGTAAGCACAACAAATAATAAATCAAAAAATTATAGAACTTATTCACTAACTAAAAATTTCATTTTTTTGACATTGACAGGTGATTGATAACATATGGGAAATGCCGACAACCCAAAATTCACAAATATAGGCAAGATAGCAAGATCAAGGCAAGATCCATGCAAAGATGCAAGATGCAACATCATTAAATTTATGTGTAATGTATAACTAGTTGCCTAATAAATATATGAGAAAAATCCAGAAAACCTCGAGAACTATCGATAGTCCCCACCATCGATAATTATCGATAGTCGGTTCACAGCTCTGGTTCACAGTAGTAATTATCTTAGGGTGCAGCCACACCAAATACATTTAAATTTACATATACCGCGGCCTCCCCATAAGAGCAATGAGAGAATTTTTGTCCCAGGATTGAAGGACAGAAGATCGAGTTTGACATAAGTCCATCCTTGTTCAGTAGCTGGATGTAATGCACATGCGCCGAAATGCTACTTTTCTATTGGCCGAATGGTGTCGAGATGGGTTATCGATTTATTTTTGGACGCGTCGTCGGCGTGGATTTTGTT